TCTGAGCTAGGTCAACACAACAACCAAGAGGGACATGGTTCTACATCTTATTCTGCATATTTTAAACATGTGTCTAAGCATATTTGTTACAGAGGAGCTGAAAATCTGTGTAGGCATTACTGAAGTCTCACAATTATTTTACTGGACTTGTTTTATCATCTGTATCTCCATCTAGGAATCCAGGCCCACTGCAGATATCAGTCAGCTTTCTGAGGGTTTGGTTGCTAAATAAAATATGCAATACCCAGGAAATTTGGAAGTTCAGATAAATAAGTTTTAGTTTGAGTATGTCCCAAATATTGCATGACATGGCACCCTATACTACTAAAAACAAATAAACAAAAACAAACAAACAAAAAACTCACACTTCTACCTGATTGAAGAGAAATCCTCTAATAAAGAGATGACTCACATGTGCATCCCCCCACACACAAACTCATACAGAATGACAGAAACATCTGCTCACGCCCACACAACCATTTACCTTAGAGGAAAGTCCAAGACCCCAACATACCTGATTCTCAGTCCTGTGAATATAGAAGGTTCAGGCTTACCCCAAGTGCCTCTGGGTGCTGACCCCAGTGTGCTTTCAGATGTGAAAAAGATGGCAATTTGGGGCCCTAATATGGGCCTGGCAGAATGAGGCCCTGGCAGTGGCCTTACCTGCTGAAACTTTGCAGTACAGGGTGTGAGCCTGCTGTGCACTACCCGCAAACAATCTCCCAGGTTTGGGCCTGTGAACTCCAGGCTCTGCCTCTCCCAGGTCTGCACTCCCTCTGCTGCAGGCCTGAGCTCTCCTTGCCCCTGGCTCTCTTCTGCAGAGGGCCTGCTCTCAGCTGCCACAGGAGGGCGCTGGAGAACCGGCCTGAGCAGAGAGGCAGGAGCTCCTCTGCAGGTCCCCCCAGGCACCTCCCCTTCTGGAGGAAGGCTTGGGAGTCCCCAAAGAGGCATCCTCAGTAGTTTCTTTCTGCCTGTGACTCAGGAAGACCAGCTCCCTGACTGCCTTCTGTGCTAGGGATCACTTCTTTGTTGAATGGGACCTGAGTTTTGAGAGGGTCTTGTGCTCCTCTTCGTCTGGTCCCTTTCCTTCCAAGGCCCCAGAGAGGAAGGCATGGGGTGGGCCCTAGCCCTGCTTCTGGTTTTCCTGCCTCCCGGTGAGTGCGCTGCCTACAGAGAGGCTCACGGGTTTTGTTTGTGTTTTTTTGTTGTTTTTGTTGTTGTTGTTGTTTTTTGCAAGGGGTGCCATGCTATGGAATGCCCATTATATTTTGTGTTGTGTCATTGCAGCCAGTCAGATATCTTCCAACTTGGAAGGGAGAATGAAGTCAGTCACTGTGCCGAGTGGGTCATCTGCTGCAATCACGTGTGATCTTCCTGTAGAAAATACCAGATACATCCACTGGTACCTCCACCAGGAGGGGAAGGCCCCACAGCATCTTCTGTACTATGACAACTCCATCCCCAGTTCAGAGAAGTATAATACTTTTCCAATCACTAGGAGGAGGTGGAAATTGAAACTGCAAAATCTAATTGAAAATGATTCTGGGGTCTATTATTGTGCCACCTGGGTCAGGCACAGTGGTTCAGACCCGCCCTACACCACACTGAAAACCTGCCTTGTGGCTGCTTAGCTGCCCCTCTCATTTCCTGCCACTGAATTTCCTGTATTCTGTACAGAGAGAAACACAGCTTCACTCCCGATCTCCCGCTAATATCACACTCCCCTGGCAGCAGCTGCACCTGTTCCCACCCCTCCCCCAGGACTTTCCTGAACACCAAGCTGCCATGTCCAGGCCTCAGCTAAGCAGCCGGCCTGAGAGCAAGCTTCTCTCAGCTCTCCTAGGACACGGGGGAGGCCCACTCACTCTGCTTCCTAGGACACACAGGTACACCTGCGGTCCAGGTGTGAAGCGAGATACTTTGGACAGCAAATAAAAAGGGTATTTATCCTGAATCATATATCCAATTGGATAACCATCCCTTATATCTGTAACAATGTAAGCAATACTATCATTACCACTCAATCACTAGGCCTAGACATGCAGTTGAACATTGTCTCCCTCTCTCTCCTACTTTCTTGGTTACTTGCTGTTTTTCTGCAGCTCCCTTCCCCTGTGCCCCCACTCCCTCCCTCCCTCCCTCCCTTCCTTTCTTCCTTCCTTCTTTCTCTCTTTCCTTTTCTTTCCTGCTTTTCTTTCTTTCTTTCTTTTTGGGCACACAATCAGAATACTTTTTCAACAAAATCATCTGTAGCTGGGCATGGTGGCGCGTGCCTGTCATCCCAGCTACTCGGGAGGCTGAGGCAGGAGAATTGCCTGAGCCCAGGAGGCGGAGGTTGCGGTGAGCCGAGATCGCGCCATTGCACTCCAGCCTGGGTAACAAGAGCGAAACTCCGTCTCACAACAAACAAAAACAACAACAAAAAAAATCATCTGGGATAATTCTCTATATGTTCACGGCAACATTGATACACCTGGTTTATTTGTTCCGTTTTTCATTTTTATATTTTGGAAATTTGTTGCGTAGTTTTGATTTGCATATGTAAAACATTTACATAGAACTGAAGTCCAAATTATAAACAGGATAGATTTGGTGATTTTTGCTTCCATTCTAGAATTCTCTTTACTCTTCTCTCTCTCACCCTATAGGTAACAATATCTTTTTCAGTTCAGGTGAACTTTTTCACTTTTTCTTATTTATTCAGAAGTCTATCACTATTTCAGAAATACATCTTTTGTTTCTCACATGTGCAGTAGGCATTGTTTTTATCTGACTGTCCTATTTGTTTTTTGCTCTGATAATTGGTTTTTATACATTTTAATTATCTTTCATTTTTTGGTGTCTGCATTTTGTGTCTTACTTGTAAAGGTGAACATACTTCAGAAATATAGATAAAGAAATTTATATAATTTTGTTAACATTTTATTCATTTATTACTTGATCTTGATATCATGATATATCTGGAATTTTATACAATAATTACTGTAGTAATAATACTGATGATAAATATGGATACTGACGTTCTTGTAGTTACTGTAGTAAGCACATTACATGTATATTTTATTGAATCTTCACAGAAACTTTGTTGAACTGTTAAAGTACTCTTGAATACAGCAGATGAGAAATTGAGGGGTTAACTAACATTCCCTAAGTCATATACCTTAATTTGATAGCATTTTCAATCCATGCTTTGGGTTGAGAAAATAAGATTTGTTCATTCTATTTGCATTTTCTAATCTTCACAAATACCAGCATTAGTTTACAACATTGCAGGCCACTTATACTTCTTGTGAATTGCCTTTTATACTCTTTGCCTATTCTTCTGTTGAGGTATTGATTTTTTCTTATTTGGTGGTAAGAATTAATATACACTATTTTAGAGATAGTGATCCTTTATCAAATGTGTTGAAAATATTTCACACCATTTGATGTATTTTATTTCAGCACCTTTTGGTAAACTTTGTATATGTTAATAAAATGTATCATTTTTTTTCTAGGATCTCTATTATGATGCCAGACTCAGACCAATGTCACCTACAATTAGTTTGCAATTCATCATTGTTTTAAGTCTAATGAATTCCTGTTTTCAGTTTTATTACAACAAAATCTCTAGTACCTTTTAAGTTATCAACCCAAGAATATTTGTTTTCATATGATAAGTCAATTCCCAAAAGAGAACATAATAATCAAGTATTTCCTTGTGGATATTAATGTGCAACTTTATGACATGATAAAATATTACATACCTGTGGCTCTCTTTCTGGACTTACCTGTGCATTCCATGAATCCTTTTATTCTAGGGCCTCTCCTCAGCATGGTAGCTTTATGGTTTATTTTACAATGCAGTGGAGTTTGCTTCTCTTATTACTTTTTTGTTTTAAGGATTTTCTATGCCTTCTAATGTGATGGCAATTCTCTCCCTTCTCATTTTTGAATCATCAGAGTTCTGTCCCAGGCAGGATTTTCCAGGCTCCAAGGCAGGTGAGCTTCCCTCCTTTTCAAGGACCCTGAGGACTCAGCTTTCAGAGCTGCTCCTGCAGCAGCCTCATGTCTTGTACACGTGGTCCAGAGGCAGAGGGAGACCACCCGGAGCCCCCAGTGTTTCTCATTCTCTGAGGTGATAACAGCAGAAACAGAATTCCCTGAGCTAGGCCAGCACAACACCGGAGAGGGATATTCTTCTACATCTTATTCTGCATATTTTAAACATGTGTCTAAGCATATTTGTTATAGAGGAGGTGAAAATCTGTGTACACACTGCTGAATTCTAACAATTGTTTTCCTGGACTTGTTTTATCGTCTGTATCTCCATCTAGGAATCCAGGCCCACTGCAGATATCAGTCTGCTTTCTGCGAGGACTGCTGCCAAATAAAACATGCAATACCCAGGAATTTTGGAAGTTCAGATAAACGAGTTTTTAGTTTAAGTATGTCCAAATATTGCATGACATGGCAACGTGTACTACTTAAAAAAAAAAAAAAAAAAAAACCCACACTGCTACTTGAATGAACAGAAATTCTCTAATAAGATCACACACATTTGCACCCCCCCACACACACACACAAACTCACACAGGATGACACAAATACACACCACACCTCCACACGCTGATTCAACTTAGCGGGAAGTCCAAGACCCACCAACACATCTCACACTCAGTCCTGTTAATAAAGCAGGTTCAGGCCTACTCAGAGTGCCCCTGGGTGTTGATCCAGTGTCCCTGCAGATGCGAAAAGGAAGGGGTTCAGGGCCCTAATCAGAAGCTTCCTGGCAGAAAGAGGCCCTGGCAGCGGCCTTACCTGCTGAAACTCTGAAGGGCAGGGTGTGAGCCTGCTGTGCACCGCCCCCTCCAAGGGCTGGGCCTGTGAACTCCAGGCTCTGCTTCCCCCAGGTCTGCACTCCCTCTGCTGCAGGCCTGAGCTCTCCTTGCCCCTGGCTCTCTTCTGCAGAGGGCCTGCTCTCAGCTGCCACCGGAGGGCGCTGGAGAACTGGCCTGAGCAGAGAGGCAGGAGCTCCTCTGCAGGTCCCCCCAGGCACCTCCCCTTCTGGAGGAAGGCTTGGGAGTCCCCAAAGAGGCATCCTCAGTCACTTCCCTCTGCTGTGACTCAGGAAGACCAGCTCCCCTCACTGTGCTAGGCATCACTTCCCTGGTCCCTTTCCTTCCAAGGCCCCAGAGAGGAAGGCATGGGGTGGGCTCTAGCCCTGCTTCTAGCTTTGCTGCCTCCTGGTGAGTGTGCTGCCCATGGAGAGGCTCACGGGTCTCATTTTACTTTGTTTCTTCTTTTGCAAGGGGTGCCAGGCTAAGGAATGCCTCATTATGTTTTGCGTTGTTCTCATTGCAGCCAGTCAGATATCTTCCAACTTGGAAGTGAGAATGAAGTCAGTCACTGGGACAACGGGGTCATCTGCTGTAATCACCTGTGATCTTCCTGTAGAAAATTCCTTATACATCCACTGGTACCTCCACCAGGAGGGGGAAGCCCCACAGCATCTTCTGTACCATGTCTTCTCCAGCTCCAGGGATGTGTTGGAATCAGGAGTCAGTTCAAGAAAGTACTATACTCTTGAAGCCACGAGGTGGAGCTCAAAAGTGAGACTACGAAATCTAAATCAACGTGACTCTGGGATCTATTACTGTGCCACCTGGGACAGGCACGGTGAGTCAGACCTGCCCTACACCACACTGAAAACCTGCCTTGTGGCTGCTTCTGCTACACAAGATTGAGCTGCCCCCTCTCATTTCCTGCCACTGAATTTCCTGTATTCTGTACAGAGAGAAACACAGCTTCACTCCGGTCTCCCGCTAATATCACACTCTCCTGGCAGCAGCTGCACCTGTTCCCACCCCTCCCCCAGGACTTTCCTGAACACCAAGCTGCCATGTCCAGGCCTCAGCTAAGCAGCCTGCCTGAGAGCAAGGTTTTCTCAGCTCTCCTAGGACACGGGGGAGGCCCACTCACTCTGCTTCCTAGGACACACAGGTACACCTAGGGTCCAGCTGTGAAACAAGATATTTCGGACAGCAAATGAAAAGGGTGTTTATACTGAATCATGTATCCAATCATGGTCCAGAGATCACAGCCGAGAGTGGTGTTCACCTCTTATATCTATAACAATATAAGCAATACTATAATTACCACGAAATAACTAGGCCTAGATGTGCAGTTGACCCTGCTCTCCCTCTGCCCTCTTTTCCTCTCTCTACTTTCTTGGTTGCTTGCTGTTTTTGTACACCTCCCTTTCCCTGCCCTTCCCTCCCTCCCTCCCTCCCTCCTTCCTTCTTTCCTTCCTTCCATCTTTCCTTTTCTCTCTCTTTTTTGAGCACACTATCAGAATACTTTTTCAATAAATCATCTGGAATAATTCTCTGTATGTTCAGGCAATATTGATACATCTGGTTTATTTGTTCAGTTTTCATTTTTATATTTTGGAAATTTGTTGTGTTCTATTGATTTGCATATGTAAAACATTTACATGGAACTGAAGCCAAAAATTATAAAACAAGATAGATTTAGAGATTTTTGCTTCCATTCTAGAATTCTCTTTTCTCTTCTCTCTTTTGCCCTATAGGTAACAATATCTTTTTCCATTTAGGTGAACTTTTTCACTTTTTCTTATTTATTGAGAAGTCTATCACTATTTCAGAAATACATCTTTGTCATATGTGCAGTATGCATTGTTTCTATTTGAATGTCATTTTTTTTTGCTCTGATAATTGGTTTCTATACATTTTAATCAATGTTTTAGTTTCTGGCATCTGGATTTTGTGTCTTACTTGGAAAGGTGAATATAATTCAGAAGTATGCACAAAGAAATTCATATCATTTTGTTAGTATTTTTAATTACTTGATATTGATATGAACTATCTGGAATTTTTATACAGTAATTACTATAGTAATAATAATTCTGATGGTAAATTGGGTACTGACTCTCTGGGAGTTACTGTACTAAGCACATAACATGTATATTTTATTGAATCTTCATAGAAACCTTATTGACAGGTTAAAGTACCATTGAATATAGCAGATGAGAAATTGAGGGGTTAACTAACATTCTCTAAGTCATATACTTTAATTTATCACAATTTCAATCCAAGCTCTGGGGTTCACAAAATGAGATTTGTTCATTTAATTTGCATTTTCTCATCTTGATGAATACTAGCATTATTTTACAAGTTTATAGGCCATTTATCCTTCTTCTTTTGTGAATTGCCTATTCATACTCTTTGCCTGTGCTTCTGTTGAGGTATTGCTTTTTCCTTATTTGTTTGTAAGAATTGATACACACCATTTTAGAGATATTGATGCTTTATCAAATATGTTGAAAATATTTCTCATTATTCGCTTTTATGTATTTTCAGCACCTTTTGGTGAACTAAACTTTGTATATTACTTTTAATAAAATCTATCAATTTTTCTAGGGTCTCTATTATGATGTGAGGCTCAGGGAGAACAATGTCACCTATAATTAGTGTGCAATTCATCATCGTTTAAGTCTAATGACTTCCTGTTTCAGTTTTATTACAACTAAATATCTATTTGTACCTTTTAAGTTAGCAACCCAGAATATTTGTTTCCCTATGGTAAGTCAATTTCCAAAGGAGAATGTATTAAATAATCAAGAATTTCCATGTGGATATTAACATACAATTTTGGGACATTATAAAATATGACATTCCTGTGGCTCTCTTTCTGGACTTTCCACTGTGTTCCATGAAGCTTTTCATCCTAGTGCCAGTATTGGCCTCTCCTCAGCACGGTAGCTTTAGAGTTCATTTTACAATGCAGTGGAGTTTGCTTCTCTTATTACTTTTTTGTTTTAAGGATTTTCTATGCCTTCTAATGTGATGGCAATTCTCTCCCTTCTCATTTTTGAATCATCAGAGTTCTGTCCCAGGCAGGATTTTCCAGGCTCCAAGGCAGGTGAGCTTCCCTCCTTCACAAGGACTCTGAGGACTCAGCTTTCAGAGCTGCTCCTGCAACAGCCTCATGTCCTGTACGCGTGGTCCAGAGGCAGAGGGAGACCACCCAGAGCCCCCTGCCTTTCTCGTTCCCAGCTGTGATAACAGCAGAAACTGAATTCTCTGAGCTAGGTCAAGACAACAAAACTGAGAGAGACATGGTTCTACATCTTATTATGCATATTTTAAACATGTTCCTATACGTATTTGTTATAGCAAAGGTGAAAATCTGTAAACGCACTACTGAATTTTCACAATTATTTTACTGGACTTGTTTTATCACCTGTATCTCCATCTAGGAATGTAAGTCCACTGCAGATATCAGTCAGCTTTCTGAGAGTACACTTGCTAAATGATATATGCAATACCTGGGAAATTTGGAAGTTCAGATAAATGAGCTTCTAGTTTAAGTACGTCCCAAATATTGGATGACATGACATCATGTTCTACTTAAAAAATAAATCTAACGCTTCTACTTGAATGAAGAGAAATCTTCTTATAAGAAGATCACAAATGTGCACAAACGCCCTCCCCCCAACACACACACAAACTCACACAAGATGACACAAACACCCGCCCCCACCCCCCACACACACACCCATTTACCTTTGAGGGAAGTCCAAGACCCACCAACATACCTGACCCTCAGTCCTGTTAATAAAGCAGGTTCAGGCCTTCTCAGAGTGCCCCTGGGTGTTGATCCAGTGTCCCTGCAGATGTGAAAAGGAAGGCGGTTCAGGGCCTTAATCAGAAGCTTCCTGGCAGAATGAGGCCCTGGCAGCGGCTTTACCTGCAGAAACGCCACAGTGCAGGGTGTGAGCCTGCTGTGCACCGCCCCCTCCAAGGGCTGGGCCTGTGAACTCCAGGCTCTGCCTCTCCCAGGTCTGCACTCCCTCTGCTGCAGGCCTGAGCTCTCCTTGCCCCTGGCTCTCTTCTGCAGAGGGCCTGCTCTCAGCTGCCACCGGAGGGCGCTGGAGAACCGGCCTGAGCAGAGAGGCAGGAGCTCCTCTGCAGGTCCCCTCAGGCACCTCCCCTTCTGGAGGAAGGCTTGGGAGTCCCCAGAGGCATCCTCAGTCACTTCCCTCTGCTGTGACTCAGGAAGACCAGCTCCCCTCACTGTGCTAGGCATCACTTCCCTGGTCCCTTTCCTTCCAAGGCCCCAGAGAGGAAGGCATGGGGTGGGCCCTAGCCCTGCTTCTAGCTTTGCTGCCTCCTGGTGAGTGTGCTGCCTATGGAGAGGCTCACGGGTTTTATTTGTTTTCTTTTGCGAGAGGTGCCATACTAAGGAATGCCCATTATATCCTGTGTTGTTCTCATTGCAGCCAGTCAGATAACTTCCAACTTGGAAGGGAGAATGAAGTCAGTCACCGGGAGGACTGAGTCATCTGCTGTAATCACCTGTGATCTTCCTGGAGAAAATACCAGATACATCCACTGGTACCTCCACCAGGAGGGGGAGGCCCCACAGCGTCTTCTGTACTATGATCTCTACAACTCCAAAATGGTATCGGAATCAGGAATCAGTCCAGGAAAGTATGATACTTATACAATCACAAGCAGGAGCTGGAAATTGAGAGTGCGAAATCTAATTGAAAATGATTCTGGGGTCTATTACTGTGCCACCTGGGACACGCACAGTGGTTCAGACCTGCCCTACACCACACTGAAAACCTGCCTTGTGGCTGCTTCTGCTACACAAGATAGAGCTGCCCCTCTCATTTTCTGCCACTGAATTTCCTGTATCCTGTACAGAGAGAAACACAGCTTCACTCCCGATCTCCCGCTAATATCACACTCCCCTGGCAGCAGCTGCACCTGTTCCCACCCCTCCCCCAGGACTTTCCTGAACACCAAGCTGCCATGTCCAGGCCTCAGCTAAGCAGCCGGCCTGAGAGCAAGGTTTTCTCAGCTCTCCTAGGACACAGGGGAGGCCCACTCACTCTGCTTCCTGGGACACACAGGTACACCTGCGGTCCAGCTGTGATTGAGATACTTTGGACAGCAAATGGGAAGGGTATTTATACTGAATCACGTATCCAGAGATCACAGCTGAGAGCAGTGCTTCTCTTTTAGGTATATAACAATATAAGTCATACTATAATTACCACTAAAACACTTGGCCTAGATATGCAGTTGAACATTCTCTTCCCCTGCCCTCGCCTTTTTCCCCTCTCCTTTCTTATTTACTTGCTTGCTTTTATTTTCCACCCTCCCTCCCTCCTTCCCTTCCTTTCTTCCTTCTTTAATTCTGTCCTTTCTTCTTCCTGTTTTTTCCTTCCTTCCTTTCTTTTCTCTCTCTTTCAGTTTTGGGTACAGAATCAGACTACTTTTTCAATAAAGTCAGCTGAAATAACTTACCTCCATATGCTCATGCCAACATTCATACACCTAAGTTTATTCGTTCCGTTTTCATTTTTAAAACTTAGAAATGTGTTGGTTTCTTTTGTTTTATACTTGTTTGGCATATGTAAAATATTTACATGGAACTAAAATCAATATAATGTAGAATATTCATTTGGCAATTTTAAATTCCATTCTAGATTTCTTTTTTTCTCTTTCTTTGTTTTTAGTTTTGAAATGGAGTTTCACTCTGTCACCCAGGATGGAGTGCAGCAGTGCAATCTCGGCTCACTGCAACCTCCACCTCCTGGGTTCAAGCGATTCTCCTGCCTCAGCCTCCTGAGCAGCTGGGATTACAGGCACATGCCAGCACACCCAGCTAAAGTTTGTATTTTTGGTAGAGATGGGGTTTCCCCATGTTGGCCAGGCTGGTCTGCAACTCCTGACCTCAGGTGATTCCCCCAGCCTTGGGAAGGTGAGCTTCCCTCCTTCACAAGGACCCTGAGAACTGAGCTTTCAGAGTCTCTCCTGCTGCAGCCTCATCTCCTGCACGGGTGTCCAGAGGCAGAGGGAGATCACCTGGAGGGCCCTCCCTTTCTCATTCCCAGCTATGATGACATCAAAAACTGAATCTCTGAGCTAAGCCAATACAACAACTGAGACGGACATTGTTCTACATCTTATTCTGCATTTTTTTTTTTTTTTTTTTTTGAGACGGAGTTTCGCTCTTGTTACCCAGGCTGGAGCGCAATGGCGCGATCTCGGCTCACCGCAACCTCTGCCTCCTGGGTTCGGGCAATTCTCCTGCCTCAGCCTCCTGAGTAGCTGGGATTACAGGCACGTGCCACCATGCCCAGCTAATTTTTTGTATTTTTAGTAGAGACAGGGTTTCACTATGTTGACCAGGATGGTCTCGATCTCTCGACCTCGTGATCCACCCGCCTCGGCCTCCCAAAGTGCTGGGATTACAGGCGTGAGCCACCGCGCCCAGCTATTCTGCATATTTTAAACATGAGTCTAGACATATTGGTTATAGAGGAGGCGAAAATCTGGATATGCACTACTGAATTTCCACCGTTTCCTTACTGCACTTGTTTCATTACCCATATCGTCATCTGTGAATCCAGGTCCCCTGCAGATATCAGTCTGCTTTCTGAAGGTAAGTTTGCTAAATAAAATATGCAATACCCAGAATATTTGAAAGTTTAAAGAAATAAGCTTTTAGTTTAAGTGTATCCCAAATATTGTGTGACATAGCACCCTGTACTACTTTTAAAAAAACAACTCACACTACCACCACAATGGCCAGAAATCCTCTAATAAAGAGATCACACACATGCGTGCCCGTGCACACATGCACACATAAACACACACACGCACACACACACACACACACATAGGATCACATACAGGAGGAGAATCCAAACCCACCAACATACCTGACCCTCGTTCCTGTTATTAAAGCAGGTTCAGGCCTTCTCAGAGTGTCCCTGGGTGTTGCCTCCAGTGTCCTTGCAGATATGAAAAGGAAAGCGGTTCAGGGCCCTAATCAGAAGCCCTGCACCGCCCCCTCCAAGGGCTGGGGCTGTGAACTCCAGGCTCTGCCTCACCCAGGTCTGCACTCCCTCTGCTGCAGGCCTGAGCTCTCCTTGCCCCTGCCTCTCTTCTGCAGAGGGCCTGCTCTCAGCTGCCACCGGAGGGCGCTGGAGAACCGGCCTGAGCAGAGAGGCAGGAGCTCCTCTGCAGGTCCCCCCAGGCACCTCCCCTTCTGGAGGAAGGCTTGGGAGTCCCCAAAGAGGCATCCTCAGTCACTTCCCTCTGCTGTGACTCAGGAAGACCAGCTCCCCTCACTGTGCTAGGCATCACTTCCCTGGTCCCTTTCCTTCCAAGGCCCCAGAGAGGAAGGCATGGGGTGGGCTCTAGCCCTGCTTCTAGCTTTGCTGCCTCCTGGTGAGTGTGCTGCCCATGGAGAGGCTCACGGGTTTTATTTGTTTTCTTTTGCGAGAGGTGCCATACTAAGGAATGCCCATTATATCCTGTGTTGTTCTCATTGTAGCGAGTCAGATCTCTTCCAACTTAGAAGGGAGAATGAAGTCAGTCACCGGGACAACGGGGTTATCTGCTGTAATCACCTGTGATCTTCCTGGAGAAAATACCAGATACATCCACTGGTACCTCCACCAGGAGGGGGAGGCCCCACAGCGTCTTCTGTACTATGATCTCTACAACTCCAAAATGGTATCGGAATCAGGAATCAGTCCAGGAAAGTATGATACTTATACAATCACAAGCAGGAGCTGGAAATTGAGAGTGGGAAATCTAATTGAAAATGATTCTGGGGTCTATTACTGTGCCACCTGGGACACGCACAGTGGTTCAGACCTGCCCTACACCACACTGAAAACCTGCCTTGTGGCTGCTTCTGCTACACAAGATAGAGCTGCCCCTCTCATTTCCTGCCACTGAATTTCCTGTATCCTGTACAGAGAGAAACACAGCTTCACTCCCGGTCTCCCGCTAATATCACACTCCCCTGGCAGCAGCTGCACCTGTTCCCACCCCTCCCCCAGGACTTTCCTGAACACCAAGCTGCCATGTCCAGGCCTCAGCTAAGCAGCCTGCCTGAGAGCAAAGTTTTCTCAGCTCTCCTAGGACACGGGGGAGGCCCACTCACTCCGCTTCCTAGGGTCCAGCTATAAAACCGGCTATTTTGGACAGCAAATGCGAAGAATATTTATACTGAATTACTTATCTAATCATGGTTTAGAGATCGCAGCTTAGAATGGTGCCCTTCTCTTGTGCCTATAACAATATAAGCTACACCATAATTACCACTAAATTACTGGGCCTATATATGCAGTTGAACATTCTCTCCCTCTGGAGATTGAGAGTGGAAATGGAGAGTTATTTACTATTTTTCCACACCTCCGTTCCCCTCCCTTCCCCTGCCTCCCTGTCTTCCTCCCTACCTACTTCTCTCCCTCCCTACCTGTCTCCCTAGCTTGCTTCCCGCTTCCCTCCCTCCCTCACTCTGACCTACCTACCTACCTTTCTTCTTTGCTTCCTTCCTCTTTCCCTTTCTCCTTCTTCCATTTTTGGGCAAACAATCAGAACACTTACTCAAAAAAATAATCTGGAATAACTATCTGCATGTTCACAGCAACTGTGATACACCTGGTTTATTTGTTCTTTTTTTATATATATTTTGAAAATTTGTTGTGTTGTTTTGATTTGCATATGTGGAACATTTACATAAAACTGAAGCCAAAAATTATAAAACAAGATTGATTTAGAGATTTCGCTTCCATTCTAGAATTCTCTTTCCTCTTCTCTCTCTCAACCTATGGGTAACAATATCTTTTTCAGTTCAGGTGAACTTTTTTATATTTATTCAGAAGTCTATCACTATTTCAGAAATACATCTTTTGTTTGTCATATATACAGTATGCATTGTTTCTATTTGAATGTCATATTTTTTTGCTGTGATAATCGGTTTTTATACATTTTAATCGATGTTTCATTTTCTGGTGTCTGGATTTTGTGTCTTACTTGGAAAGGTGAACATACTTCAGAAGTATGCACAAAGAAATTCATATCATTTTGTTAATTTTTTTCATTAATTACTTGATATTGATATGATCTATCTGGAATTTTTATACAATAGTTACTGTAGTAATAATAACACTGATGGAAATATAGGTACTGACTTTCTGGTAGTTACTGTACTAAGCACATTACATGTATATTTTATTGAATCTTCACAGAAACCTTATTGATGGGTTAAGTATCATTGAATATAGCTGATGAGAAATTGAGGGGCTAACTAACATTCCCTAAGTCATATGCTTTAATTTGATAGTGACTTCAATCCAAGCTCTGGGGTTCAGAAAATGAGCTTTGCACATTCAATTTGCATTTTCTTATTTTTATGAATACTAGCATTATTTTACAGCTTTATAGGCTATTTATACATCTTTTGTGAATTGCCTTTTAATACTCTTTGTCCATTCTTCTGTTGAGGTATTAAATTTTTCTTATTTGTTTGTGAGGATTAATATTCACCATTTTAGAGATAATCATCCTTTATCACACATGTTGAAATTATTTCTCGTCATTTGCTGTTATTTATTTTTGGCACCATTTGGTGAACTGAACTTACATTACTTTTAACAAAATCTGTCAATTTTTCTAGGGTCTCTATTACGATGTGAGGCTCAGAGAGAACAATGTCACCTATAATTAGTCTCCAATTCATCATCGTTTAAGTCTAATGATTTCCTGTTTTTAGTTTCATTACAACTAAATCTCTATTTGTACCTTTTAAGTTAGCAGCCCAAGAATACGTGTTTCCATATGGTAAGTCAATTCCCAAAGGAGAATATATTAAATAATCAAGTATTTCCTTGTCGATATTAACATACAATTTTAGGACATGATAAAATATTACATTCCTGTAATATTTCTGGACTTTCCACTGTGTTCCGTGAAGCTTTTCATCCTAGTGCCAGTATCGGCCTCTCCTCAGCACGGTAGCTTTAGAGCTCATTTTACATTCCAGTGGAGTTTGCTTCTCTTATTACTTTTTTTGTTTTAAGGTTTTTCTATGCCTTCTAATGTGATGGCAATTCTCTCCCTTCTCATTTTTGAATCATCAGAGTTCTGTCCCAGGCAGGATTTTCCAGGCTCCAAGGCAGGTGAGCTTCCCTCCTTCACAAGGACTCTGAGGACTCAGCTTTCAGAGCTGCTCCTGCAACAGCCTCATGTCCTGCACGCGTGGTCCAGAGGCAGAGGGAGACCACCCGGAGCCCCCAGTGTTTCTCATTCCCAGTGGTGATGACAGCAGAAACGGAATTCTCTGAGCTAGGCCAACACAACCACCGAGAGGGACATGGTACTCCGTCTTATTATTCATGTTTTAAAAATGTTTCTAAACATAATTGTTACAGGAGAGGTGAAAATCTGTGTGTGCACTACTGGATTCTGGCAAATATTTTACTGGACTTGTTTTATCATCTGTATCTCCATGTATGAATCCAGGTCCACTACAGATTTCAGTTCACTTTCTGAGGGTAGGGTTGCTAAATAAAATAGGCAATACCCAGGAAATTTGGAAGTTCTGATAAATAACAAGTTTTCAGTTTAAGTATGTCCCAAATATTGCATGACATGGCACTGTGTACTATTTAGAAAAAAAAAAAAAATCTCACTTCTACTGCAATGAAAAGAAATCCTCTAATAAAGAGATCCCATACATGGGCACCGCCCCAGCACACAAACTCACACAGGATGACACAAACACCCACCCCACCCCCACACAGCCATTTATCTTACAGGGAAGTCCAAGACTCACCAAAATAACTCACTTTCAGTCCTATTAATAAAAGAGGTTCAGGCCTACTCAGAGCATCCCTGGGTGTTGCCTACACTGTCCTTGCAGATGTAAAAAGGAAGGCTCTTCAGGGCCATAATCAGAGGCTTCCTGCCAGGCTAAGGTCCTGACATCAGCATTACCTGCAGAAACGCCACAGTGCAGGGTGTGAGCCTGCTGTGCACCGCCCCCTCCAAGGGCTGGGGCTGTGAACTCCAGGCTCTGCCTCCCCCAGGCTCTGCACTCCCTCTGCTGCAGGCCTGAGCTCTCCTTGCCCCTGGCTCTCTTCTGCAGAGGGCCTGCTCTCAGCTGCCACCGGAGGGCGCTGGAGAACCGGCCTGAGCAGAGAGGCAGGAGCTCCTCTGCAGGTCCCCCCAGGCACCTCCCCTTCTGGGAGGAAGGCTTGGGAGTCCCCAAAGACAGATCCTTAGTTCTCTCTGCCTGTGACTCTGGAAGACCAGCTCCCCCACTGCCTTCTGTGCTAGGGATCACTTCCTTGTTGAGTGGGACCTGAGTTTTGAGAGGGTCTTGTGCTCCTCTTCATCTGGTCCCTTTCCTTCCAAGGCCCCAGAGAGGAAGGCATGGGGTGGGCCCTAGCCCTGCTTCTCGCTTTGCTGCCTCCTGGTGAGTGCGCTGCCCTTGGAGAGGCTCACGGGTTTTGTTTTCTTCCTTTGTAAGGGGTGCCATACTAAGGAATGCCCCATTGTATTTTGTGTTGTTTCATTGCAGCCAGTCAGATATCTTCCAACTTGGAAGGGAGAATGAAGCCAGTCACCGGGCGTTTAGTCACTGGGCGTACGGGGTCATTTGCTGTCATCGCCTGTGATCTTCCTGGAGAAAATACCTTATACATCCACTGGTACCTCCACCAGGAGGGGAAGGCCCCACAGCGTCTTCTGTACTATGACACCTACCAGTCCAAGGCTGTGTTGAATTCAGGAATCAGTCCAGGAAAGAAGGATAATTATCTAATCTTGAAGGGGAGCTGGAAATTGGTACTGCAAAATCTAATTGAAAGTGATTCTGGGGTCTATTACTGTGCCACCTGGGACAGGCACAGTGGTTGAGACCTGCCCTACACCACACTGAAATCTGCCTTGTGGCTGGTTGTGGTACACAAGATAGAGCTGCCCCTCTCATTTCCTGCCACTGAATTTCCTGTATTCTGTACAGAGAGAAACACAGCTTCACTCCCGATCTCCTGCTAATATCACACTCCCCTGGCAGCAGCTGCACCTGTTCCCACCCCTCCCGCAGGACTTTCCTGAACACCAAGCTGCCATCTCCAGGCCTCAGCTAAGCAGCCGGCCTGAGAGCAAGGTTTTCTCAGCTCTCCTAGGACACGGGGGAGGCCCACTCACTCTGCTTCCTATACAGGGACTCCTAGGGTCCAGCTGTGAAACCAGATATTTTGCACAGCAAATGGGAAGGATATTTTTACTGAATCATGTATCCAACCATGGTCCAGATATGGCAGGTTAGAGCAGTGCTCACCTCTTATGTCTATAACAATATAAGCAATATTAGAATTGCCACTAAATCACTAGGCCTAGATGTGCAGGTGAACCTTCTCCCCTTCTGCCGACGTTTTTTTCTCTCTCTGCTTTCTTGGTTACATACTATTTTTCTACACCTCTCTTCCCCTGCCCTCCCTAGCATGCTTCCTCCCTTCCTCACTTCCTCCTTTCCTTCCTTTTTTCTCCCCTTCTTTTTTGGGCACACAATCAGAATACTTTTTTAACAAAATCATCTGGAATAATTCTCCATATGTTCACGGCAGCGTTGATACACTTGGTTAATTTGTTCAGTTTTCATTTGTATATTTTGGAAATTTGTTGTGATTTGTATATGTAGAACACTGACGTGAAACTGAAGTCAAAATTATAAAACAAGATAGATGTAGAGATTTTAGCTCCCATTCTAGAATTCTGTTTTCTCTCTCTCACCCTATAGGTAACAGTATCTTTGTCAGTTCAGGTGAACTTTTTCACTGTTTCTTATTCACTCAGAAGTCTATCACTATTACAGAAATACATTATTCTGTTTGTCATATGTGCAATATGCATTGTTTCTATTTGAATGTCGTATTTTTTTTTTGCTCTGATAATTGGTTTTTATACATTTTAATCAATCTTTGATTATCTGGTGTCTGGATTTTGTGTCTTACTTAGAAAGGTGAACATACTTTAGAAATATGCATAAAGAAATTCATATCATTTCGTTAATATTTTATGTTTATTTGATATTGATATCATGATCTATCAGGAAGTTTTATACAATAATTACTGTAGTAATAACAACAATACTGATGGTAAATATGGGTACTGACTTTAAGGTAGTTACTAAGCACATTACGTGTATATTGTATTGAGTCTTCACAGAAACCTTATTGACATGTTAAAGGACCCTTGAATATAGTAGATGAAAAATTGAGGGGTTACCTAACATTCCCTAAGGCATATACTTTAATTGATAGCAATTTCAATCGAAGCCCTGGGGTTTGGCAAATGAGATTTGTTCAATTTGCACTTTCTGATCTTTATGAATACTAGCATTATTTTACAACTTTGTAAGCCATTTATACTTCTTTTGTGAATTGCCTTTTCATACTCTTTGCCTATTCTGTTGAAGTATTCAGTTTTTCTTATTTGTTGGTAAGAATTAATATACACCATTTTAGAGATAGCTATCCTTTATCAACCATGTTGAAAATATTTTTTCTCATTTACTTTTATTTGCGGCATCTATGGTGAACTGAACTTTGTAAATTAATTTAATAAAATCTATCAATTTTTCTAGGGTCTCTATTATGTCAGGCTCAGAGAGACCAATGTCACCTACAATTAGTCTGTAATTCATCATCGTTTAAGTCTAATGATTTCCTGCTTTCAGTTTTATTACAACTAAATTTCTGTTTGTGACTTTTAAGTTAGCAACACAAGAATATGTGTTTCCATATGGTAAGTCAATTCCCAAAGGAGAACATATTAAATAATCAAGTATTTCCTTGTCAATATTAGCATACAACTTTATGACATGATAAAATATTACATTCCTGTGGCTCTCTTTCTGGACTTTCCACTGCGTTCCATGAATATTTTCATTCTAGTGCCAGTATTGGCCTCTCTTCATCATGGTAGCTTTGTGGTTCATTTTACATTCCAGTGGAGCTTGTTTTCTTATTACTTTTTCTGTTTTAAGGATTTTCTATGCATTCTAATGTGATGGCAATTCTCTCCCTTCTCATTTTTAAACCATGAGAGTTCTGCCCTACCCAGGATATTCAGGCTCCAAGGCAGGCAAGCTTCCCTCCTCTACAAGGTCTCTGAGAGCTCAGCTTTGAGCTGCTCCTGCAGCAGCCTAATGTCCTGCACGTGGGGCCCAGAGGCAGATGGACACCACCTGGGGCCCCGTGCCTTTCTCATTCCCAGCTGGGATGACGGCAGACTCTGAATTCTCTGAGCTAGGCCAACACAACAACCGAGAGGGACATAGTTCTGTGTCTTATTCTGCATATTTTAAACGTGTGTCTAAACATATTTGCAACAGAGGAGGCGAAAATCTGTGTGCACTCCTGGATTTTCACAATTATTTTATTGAACTTGTTTTATTGTCTGTAACTCCATCTAAGAATCCAGGTCCACTGCAGATATCAGTCAGCTTTCTGAGAGTACAGTGGCTAAATAAATATGCAACACCCAGGAAATTTGGAAGTTCAGGTGGTAAGTTTTTAGTTTAAGTATGTCTCAAATATTGCACGACATAGCACCCAGTACTACTTAAAAAAAACTCACACTTTTACTTCAACGAACAGAAATCCTCCAATAAGGTAATCACACACCTGTGCACAGTCCCCACACCGCACAAACTCCCACAGATGACACGAACACCCACCCCACCCCCACACACCCATTTACCTTAGAGGGGAGTCCAAGACCCACCAACATACCTGACCCTCAGTCCTGTTAATAAAGCAGGTTCAGGCCTTCTCAGTGTGCCCCTGGGTGTTGATCCAGTGTCCCTGCAGATGTGAAAAGGAAGGCGGTTCAGGGCCTTAATCAGAAGCTTCCTGGCAGAATGAGGCCCTGGCAGCGGCTTTACCTGCAGAAACACCACAGTGCAGGGTGTGAGCCTGTGGAGCACCGCCCCCTCCAAGGGCTGGGCCTGTGAACTCCAGGCTCTGCCTCCCCCAGGTCTGCACTCCCTCTGCTGCAGGCCTGTGCTCTCCTTGCCCCTGGCTCTCTTCTGCAGAGGGCCTGCTCTCAGCTGCCACCGGAGGGCGCTGGAGAACGGGCCTGAGCAAAGAGGCAGGAGCTCCTCTGCAGGTCCCCCCAGGCACCTCCCCTTCTGGAGGAAGGCTTGGGAGTCCCCAGAGGCATCCTCAGTCACTTCCCTCTGCTGTGACTCAGGAAGACCAGCTCCCCTCACTGTGCTAGGCATCACTTCCCTGGTCCCTTTCCTTCCAAGGCCCCAGAGAGGAAGGCATGGGGTGGGCTCTAGCCCTGCTTCTAGCTTTCCTGCCTCCTGGTGAGTGTGCTGCCTATGGAGAAGCTCACGGGTTTTGTTTTTTTCTTCTTTTGCGAGGGGTGCCATACTAAGGAATGCTGCATTATGTTTTGTGTTGTTCCCTTTGCAGCCAGTCAGAAATGTTCCAACTTAGAAGGTAGAACGAAGTCAGTCACCGTGCCAAGTGGGTCATCTGCTGTAATCACCTGTGACCTTCCTAAACAAAGTACAGTCTAATACATCCTCTGGTACCTCCACCAGGAGCGGAAGTTTCCACAGCGTCTTCTGCTATCCCATGACCCCTCCACATCCAAGGTTGTGGTGGAATCAGGAATCAGTCCAGGAAAGGATGATACTTATGCAAGCACAAGGAGAAGCTCAAAATTGATACTGAAAAATCAATTGAAGATGATTCTATTACTGCCACCTGGGGACAGGCACAGTGATTCAGACCTGCCCTACACCACACTGAAATTTGCCTTGTGGCTGGTTGTGGTACACAAGATAGAGCTGCCCCCTCTCATTTCCTGCCACTGAATTTCCTGTATTCTCTACAGAGAGAAACACAGCTTCACTCCCGGTCTCCCACTAATATCACACTCCCCTGGCAGCAGCTGCACCTGTTCCCACCCCTCCCCCATGAGTTACCTAAACACCAAAGCACAATCTCCCAGCTGTGTCAGCCAAGCACCCTGGCTGACAGCAAAGTTCTTTCAGCTCTTCTAGGGGCTGGTGGAGGCCCATTCCTCTGCTTCCTAAGACAGACAAGTTCCTCAAGGACTGATCTCTAAAGGATACTTTTAGGGAAGTAAATGGGAAGACCAGCTGCACTCAAGCATTTATCCAATTATTGTCTATAGATCATGGCTGAAATGGTGCTTATCCACAGCTCAGGAGAAATGTTGGAATAACACCTTTGCACTTCAATGAGACATCTAACATGTATCAGATCTGCTATCTTTTGGACACACTGATATTTTCCTCTACATGTCAAATCATGGTACTATTGGTCTGCATGAGAATGGGTAAAAAAGTGATTGCCATAGATATGCCAACCTAAGAGTCATATCATGTTTTCAACCATTTCAAGCATCCCTGCCATAAGGCCAGTATCTGAAGGTTCTGACCCTTGCCCTGCAGGAGAATTCATTCCTTCTTCCTTCTGGGTATTAGACTGATAATTTGGATCAGTCTCATCATGGGCCATTGGGGAAGATTACAGCCCTGCTGAGAGCTAAAAAAGATCATCCACTCAAGGAGTTTGCACGTCCTGGCCGACACGGAGCACATGCCTAGAAGTAGATTTGGTGGGTGCTCAATGGTGGGTTGCCTGAAGAGGCAGAGTTTAATTCTGCAGGGGCACTTTCATAATGTAGTGCCCTGACAGGGCTCCTGGTGTTGGTCCTTTGACACTCCTGGGATGGCGCCCTGGAAACATGGAGGCGACCTTGGTCACATGACATGATATGGAGATGCTGGAGATGCTGGTACAGAGTCATAGAGGAAGGCTTAAAAGGCTTATGAGAGATGGACATGCTAGAGTGGACTTTCCTATAATACCTGAGAGCTCGCTGGATGACTGTATTCCCTGTGAGAGCCCAGAGAACCATCTGAATTAGAAAGACAAGGCATGTTCTGAAATGGGAGACATCAGCATTTTTGAGAGTCTCCAAGGATGCTGTGCCCTGTGGAGCAGGGTTGATTATAGGAGATGCTGTTACGGAATTAGCTCCCTAGGGTCAATGGAGACGATGTGATTTCAAAATAAGAGTCCAAATGTGCAGAATTAGTGTAAGAAGTAAAACCAGAAAAGCAGCCAAGGAGCCCTGATCTACAGAAATCTGGGATGATAGCGAATAAACCACAGTGTTCCTAGGGCTAAGGAAATTGGGCTACCACAATGGTATTCCACATATATATTCCATGTATACATATATGCTGTATATATGTAATTGTAACCTATCAAGAGAAGATGA